TACTATTAGCAATCATAGAACTTCATGTATAGAATAGTGACTGTACAGCATGCACCATTTTCAGCAGTAACCGAATGATGCACAAATTTCAAATCCCCACCATTTCACATGTATAAGAAATCTTTGAAGCTTCGTACCTCTTATCTCTAAGAACACTCCATCACTCTTTTTGTTTATATTTATAAAAATTTTAAAAACTGTCATAAAAACTTGTTTGATAATTTTTTTGGTTTATAAATTGTTGTCTCAGTTTATAAATTTGAGAAAAAAGCGTAAACTCAAAAAATGAGTTTACGTTTTCAGTTTTCAATTTTTTTTTTCAATTATTTTTTTTTTCAAATAATTTATTTTCAATTATTTTTTTTTCAAATAATTTTTTTCAATTAATTTTTATTTCAAATATTTTTTTTTCAATTAATTTTTTTTTCAATTATTTTTTTTTCCAATTATAATGTGTGTGATCCCATTCTCATAAATAATAAAAATAAATATAAATATTTTAGGCCTGAACAAACATATTTTTTAATTTATGTTTTTAAATTTTTTTAAATATTTTGTTCAAACCAAACGCGTTTGTAATTTATGTTTTTCTAAAAATAAGCAAAAACCAATTTATAAAATTTTTGTAAACATAAACCAAAAACGTAAACGTTACCAAACGCTACCTAAATGTTTTTTTTTTTAAATGTCTTTTTTTTTCCTTTTTTATATTATATTAAAGTTTAATATTTTGATAATAATCATATGTGTTGGGCTTTTCAAGGAATTAAATGTCTTTTTTTTTTATTGTATTATATTAAAGTTTAATATTTTGATAATAATCATATGTGTTGGACTTTTCAAGAAATTTTTTTTATGCTTGTTCTTAATGCATTAAAGTGTTATTATGAGGGATAATAATCATATGTGTTGGGACTTTTCAAGGAATTCATATGTGTTGGATTTCAAAGAATTTTTTTTATGCTTGTTCTTAATGCATTAAAGTGTTGCTATGAGGGTAAGACTTGAGAGTTTGGAGCAGTTAATAAATGCTAAGATTTTTTTTCTTTTAAATCAAAAAATCAAGAAATTTAGATTAGGAGATTGGAGCTCTAAAAACCCCTGTTTACTTAACATATAACTAGCATATCACCCGTGCTATGCACGGATTGTGTTTACAATTATTTATATATGTGAATTGTGATTTTTAAATGTATTTTTTTTTTAAATGTTTTCTTTTTTTCCTTTTTTATATTATATTAAATTTTAATATTTTGATAATAATCATATGTGTTGGACTTTTCAAAGAACTAAATGTCTTTTTTTTTATTATATTATATTAAAGTTTAATATTTTGATAATAATCATATGTGTTGGACTTTTCAAGAAATTTTTTTTATGTTTGTTCTTAATGCATTAAAGTATTATTATGAGGGATAATAATCATATGTGTTGAGACTTTTCAAGGAATTTATATGCGTGGGATTTCAAAGAATTTTTTTTATGCTTGTTTCTTAATGCATTGAAGTGTTATTATGAGGGTAAGACTTGGGAGTTGGGAGAAGTTAATAAATGTTAAGATTTTTTTTTTTAAATCAAAAAATCAGGAAATTTAGATTGGGAGATTGGAGCTCCCACAAGGCTTGAGGTTGAAAACCCCTTTTTACTTAATGTATAGTAAGTATAGATGTGTTGAGACTTTTCGATGAATTTATATGTGTTGGATTTCAAAGAATTTTTTTTATGTTTGTTCTTAATATATTAAAGTGTTATTATGAGGGTAAGACTTAGGAGTTGGTAGAAGTTAATAAATGCTAAGATTTTTTTTTTTTTTTAAATCAAAAAACAGGAAATTTAGATTCGCAGATTAGAGCTCCCACAAGCCTTGGGTTAAAAACTCCCTTTTACTTAATATATAGTATAGATAATATAGATATAGATATAGATATAGATATAGATATAGATAGATAGATAGATAGATAGATAGATAGATAGATAGATAGATAGATAGATACAGATATAGATATTTATATTTGTTTTAGATTTTTTTTTAATATACAAATTATTTTTTTAGATTTTTTATAAAAATAATTTAACAATCTCATCACTAACTATAGTGTATGAGAGAAGTTAAAAAGGGTGTAATAGTAGATATAAGAGAAGTCAAAAAAACTTGTAAGTTAAGAGAAGTCAATAAATGCTAAGGTGTTTTTTTTTTTTGTTTTTTTGTTAATCAAAAACTTAGAAAATTAAGATTAGAATATTGAAACTCCCAAGACTTGTTTGTTAAAAACTCCTTTTTCCTTATGTAATACTAGCATATCACCTGTGCTATGCACGGATTGTATTTACAATTATCTATATGTATGAATTGTGATTTTTAAATATTTTTTCTTTTTTTTTTTAAATGTCTTCTTTTTTTCCTTTTTTATATTATATTAAAGTATAATATTTTGATAATAATCATATGTGTTAGACTTTTCAAGTAATTAAATGTCTTTTTTTTATATTATACTATAATAAAGTTTAATATTTTGATAATAATCATATGTGTTGGACTTTTCAAGAATTTTTTTTATGCTTCTTCTTAATGTATTAAAGTGTTATTATGAGGGATAATAATCATATTTGTTGGGACTTTTCAAGGAATTCATATGTGTTGGATTTTAAAGAATTTTTTTATTGCTTGTTCTTAATGCATTAAAGTGTTTTTATGAGGGTAAGACTTGGGAGTTGGGAGAAGTTAATAAATGCTAAAAAAAAAAAATTTAAATCAAAAAATCAGGAATTTTAGATTGGGAGATTGGAACTCCCACAAGACTTGGGGTTAAAAACCCCTTTTTGCTTGATATATAGTATAGATGCTAGCCTATCACCCGCGCTATGCACGGGATTAGTTTCGATATTTATATTTATTTTAGATTTTTTTTTAAATATATAAATTATGTTTTTAAAGTTTTTTTATAAAAATAATTTAACAATCTTATCACTAAACATAGTGTATGGGAGAAGTTGAAAAGAGTACTACAGTAATTATACACGGATTGTATCTATAATTATTTGTATGAGGTGATTTTAAATGCTGATCAGGAGTTTTTGACCAAATCAATAAATGTAGACATGTGGAAAGACATGTGGATTGAAAAAAATTAATAAATACTAATAAGGGAATTTTGACCAAATTAATAAATGCTAAGTTTTTTTTTTAAATAAAAAAATTTAAAAATTTAGATTGGGATATTGAAACTCCTACAGGCCTTGGGGTTTAAAAACCCCCTTTTGCTTAATATATAGTACTAACATATCACTAGTGCTATGCACGGATTGTGTTTACAATTATCTATATATGTGAATTTCGATTTTTAAATGTCTTTTTTTTTTAAATGCCTTCTTTTTTTTCCTTTTTTATATTATATTAAAGTTTAATATTTTGATAGAAATCATGTGTTAGACTTTTTAAGGAATTAATATCTTTTTTTTATTATATTATATTAAAGTTTAATATTTTGATAATAATCATATGTGCTGGACTTTTCAAAAAAAAAATTTTATGCTTATTCTTAATGGATTAAAGTGTTATTATGAGAGATAATAATCATATGTGTTGGAAATTTTCAAGAAATTCATATATGTTGATTTCAAATAATTTCTTTTTATGTTTGTTTTTAATACATTAAAGTGTTATTATGAGGGTAGGACTTGGGAGTTGGGAGAAGTTAATAAATGCTAAGGTTTTTTTTTTTTAAATCAAAAAATCAGAAAAATTAGATTGGGAGATTGGAGCACCCATAAGGCTTGGGGTTAAAAACCCCATTTTGCTTAATATATAGTATAGATACTAGCATATCACCCGTGCTATGCACGGATTGTGTTTACAATTATTTATATATGTGAATTGCGATTTTTAAATATCTTCTTTTTTCTTTTCTTTTTTTAAATGTCTTCTTTTTTTTCCTTTTTTTATATTATATTAAAGTTTATTATTTTGATAATAATCATATGTGTTAGACTTTTCAAGAAATTAAATGTCTTTTTTTTATTATATTATATTAAAGTTTAATATTTTGATAATAATTATATGTGCCGGATTTTTCAAGAATTTTTTTTTGTGCTTATTCTTAATGCATTAAAGTGTTATTATGAGTGATAATAATCATATGTGTTGAAACTTTTCAAGGAATTCATATGTGTTGAATTTCAAAGAATTTTTTTTATGCTTGTTCTTAATGCATTAAAGTGTTATAATGAGGGTAAGACTGGAGGGTTGGGAGAAATTAATAAATGCTAAGATTTTTTTGTTTTTTTAAATCAAAAAATCAAAAAATTTAGATTGAGAGATTGGAGCTCCCACAAGACTTGGGGCTGAAAACCCCCTTTACTTAATATATAGTATAGGTACATAGATAATTTGGCAATTTTGATCAAAAATCAAAATTTTAAAGCTCCAAGTTGTGGTCTGTTGATACGCAAAAGCAAATCTAGATTGTTGGATCTGTTACAGGAACTTAGATCATTGTTTGGATTGTTGGACCTAGATTGCTTGGATTATTTATTTATTTTAATCAAATCTGAGATCATTGTCTGGATTATTGCTTTTCTTTTTTTTCTTTTCTTTTTTTATAGTTGTTCTTGTTGTTCATGATGATGAAATAGATAAAAAAAAATTTAACTGATAAATTATTTGAACAGATTTGGACAAATATTTGAACATATAAGGAATTTCAATAGATAGATATTCCAAAAGATAGACAAGTTAAAATAAGAATTTCAACAGATATATATATATATATATAGAGAGAGAGAGAAGTGTAAAAATTCAACAGCTCAAGAAGTAAATTTCAAGAGATAGCAAAATTTTAAACAGATAAAGAGAAAAAAAAATTGAACAAATAGTCAAAATTTGAACAAATAAATATAAATTTAAATTGATAAAAAATAATATGAACACATAGATATAAATTTAAACAAATAGTCAAAAAAAAGTCAAATAGATTATAAAAAAAAAAAGGTCAACAAATAAATTTGAAAAGATAGTTCTCACCAAACTATTTCACAAAAGGTGAACTTTTCACCAACAAAAAATTACTCACTGAATCTAATATCTAATACCTTATACCTTCCTTAAGTTAGATTTTTCAACAATTATCTCGAAAATAAAATGCCGATAGGTATCTATGTAATCCTGGAAACAACACAAATCAAAGGTACTTCTTTTCTTTATTTTCGGAAGTAGAGTCCTTCAATAACGTCCATTGCTTTAAGTTGGCGTAACCAGCAAGGAACACAAACTGGGAGAAGCAGAGGAGCATAATCATAGCTTCAAAAAGGAAAGGATACTTCTCGGGAGGACACAACGCCAAGTACACAATATGAAGAACAAGAGAGCAAATAACAAGAAATGCCATGACGAATGATTTCAAATTGGCAAGAGATTGTGCATCTCTTGTATGTTGTCTTCCAGCAGGTGCATGGTAAAGAAGGATGAAGAGAACATACAGGGAAATGTAAGGCAAAATCAATTCATCACGACACAGCAGCGGGAACATAGAGAGCAAAGCATAATGCATCATCCACTTGAAAAGAAAAGGCTCGTCCCCGGCCAAAAGGCTAACAGGTATAAGCGGCAGCAGAATAGATTTCTCATGCACTGTATTTCCAAGCAAGCAATAATGCAAAATTGTTACATAACATCGACATAAAACTCAAGGAAAATAAGTACTTGAAGAGCAAAGAATTGGATATTTTTACAAACCTTGGTATGAGAATAAATAGAATGAGAGAGAACTATTGAGCAACCCATACAGGAAGCCTTGGTTGCTTGGAGCCCGTATTTGTTGAATCATCGATGGCAGACAGGCAGAAATAGTTGCCCCAAAACTGAGAAGCTTCAGAGATGGTACTGTGAGCAATCTTTTCCACTTTATAAGTACTGATGAGGTGCACCAAAAGTTAGCCACATAATCCTCATAAATACCCCTTTCAAATGGGGCTAGACGGGAGAGAACCTGCACCAAGCACAGAGCTTAATAACTTATCATAATCAATTAGCTTGTCAATAGAACAGAATAATAAAAAGACACAGGAAAACACAACAACTATGTCGCATAACACACGTAAACAGCTGGGGTTACCACATTTCAGATATCTACGTAGCAGGAAAAGGAGCATCAACAAAAACTAGAATATAATCCAAAGCTGGAGAAGATGAAAACCAAAAAAGTTAAAAAAAAAATTAAGATTGCATGCTAGTATTAACCTGCAAAAATGCATCCACTGACTGCAGATATGGCCACCAAACAAGGGCAAATGTACCTATGACCACCAAGCCCAGTTTTGTCACCTTGAGAAGTGGATTCTGATGCCTCAGGCATTTACCCAAAAGATGACTGAAAAATGCAGGCGCAAAATAGGCACTCATCTACGTAAAAACAAGCACAATTCCACCAAATCAAATCAGCCAGTTAAATTATATGTCTATAGCGTAAGCAAGTGTTGGACAGCTCCGAAATATGCCCATCAGAAATTAACTAAATCAGTATATGGTCCTTCCAATAAAGATATCAAATGATTGACTGGCATGATTTTGTGTCTTGCACAAACTACAAAAGAATATCAAAATCATTTTACTCAAACCATGCACAACTTCATTCAGTCAAGTTGCTTAATACAAGAAAATAAGCGTGACATTGATAAAAGATAGAAATCATAGAAACAAGTTTTAAAAGGTAACAGGAAGAGAAAAAAAAAAGACATAATCTAAGGCGGTGTTTGGGATGATCTAAATAAATATACTTTTTGACTTTTTATGAAAAAAACGTCTAGTATGGATTGAATTTGAAGTGATGTGGTAAAGAGGCGATATGATCCAAATAAGATAATTGTAACCCAAACACCCTAAGCCTGAGCTATGCAATTTATCCAAGAAGTCACCTGCTTGTGATTGAGAGCAAGACAGAACAGGACAGAACCCAATAGGTCTTTGTTAGAGAGGATGGCCGCAGCAGCTCCAACAGCAAGGCCTAAGCTAATGCAATTGTACTGAAATAAAATATTGTAAAATTAAAACTGGCAAACTCACAAATTCATACGACAAGTTTAAAATATTTTGTTCACCACCTGAAAATGACCGTGATCAATCAGTATCAGACATGGGTTGAGCAAAATCATTGCAATATGCCATGCCACATCACTTTTACGTCCACTGCGGCTACCAGAGTAGTACACGACAACAAAATACAAAACTGCGGGAAAGAACATCAGCGCATCCGAGGACAAAACTGTCCACCTCATGAGCAGCTTTCTGTGGGAAAAACATTAGAACAGCTGAAATAATTGCAGGAATAATTAAATGACTAAAATAATGCCAAAAATAAAGATTGCAGTACCATTAATCAATATGTACTGTTACAATACACACCCAAAATAGGACTCATGGCCACGAGAATCATAAAGCGAAACAGAATCTGGATGGAAGGTTCTGAGGAAAAGACCATGAACATAACTCTGGTAGGCAGTAAGGGGAGGGTAGTCAAGTCCCCAATAGCTCAAATTATTGGAGGTGCTATTCCGGTACCAGTCACCAGCTGGAAGATTAAGGGTGATCTCCATCCAATGCCTTTGCGCTTCAAAGTCCCCATACTTGGGTGGCTTCCCAGCACCAGAGTAAGGATGGAGTGATACAGCAGCTCTTACCAACAGTGCAAACACACTGATACAAATAAATGAAGAAACAATACCCCTATGAACCAACCACCACCATATGTTGTCCTCGTCTCTGTCTTCCTCTTTCAATGCTTTCATTCCCTTCCTCTTCTCCATTTGTTTCTCTGACCAATTTTATTCTGGTAAAAAGTCTGAAAATTCAATCTTCTGACAAAAGCATGAATAAAGACTGCCAGAAAGAAAAACATCTAAAACACTTGGAACTGGTACATACTCACAATTAAGCAAAACATAGTAAATACATATATGCATGTAAGGTAATGAATCAAAAGAACTTGAATCATGAATTGACAAAATTTTATTTGACATAAGCCCACCTAGGACAGACAAATGGTTGAATTCATACAGGTACGGGTCACATCAAATTCCAGAGAACCCCCACGTGATTAGACTAATACTGTCAAAGAACCCAAATTCTACTTACACAAATTTAAACTCATGATCCAAATAGATTCAATAAACAAACAAGACTTCATGGTGGCTCTATGGCATTTTTAAGTCTTATGACATCTGATATTAGGTTTCAACTCTCAATCTAAGAAAAGATGTGTATGCTACACCAACCACCCTCCAATGAAAAATAAATAAATAAAACAAAGACACAAATAGGATTTCTAAATTTGAACTTCAAGAATTTCAATTGGGTGCATACCTACAGTTTCTTTTAAATTGTTCTCTACCTCTTTGATGAATTTAAATTGTCAATACTGGTTTGCTCATGTTCACTTGATTCTCTCAATTATAAGTGAGATATTCAATGTACTTCTGCTTGAAAGTAAAGGAGCAAGAAACCACACTTCTCATAAAACAATTCTTATGGGGTTTTGTTCAAATTCTTGTTATGAGCCATTTTCCTCTAGAAAAAAGGGGGAGGGAAAAAAATCAAACACAAAGTGATGATCATGCATAACGCAAAGTCTGCTGCATATACAGGTTGCTAAGTAAAACAACAGATCCATGTTTCACATTATCCGTTAGCAATTGGGTATTAGCGCATCCACATTGGGCTGCCATTGCCAAATTTTGGCAAGAGTCGACAAAAACAGGTCTCCTTCCCTTCCTCATCCTTTCCCAGCAAAAACTCTCTCAAACAGAAAATAATATTTTTAAACAAAATTCACCACAAAAAAAAAAAAAAAAAAAAACCCATCAAAAAAAAGATGATTTCAGAAAAAAAAAAAACTAAAAAAAATTCCCCAAAAAAAAAAAAAAAAAAAAACCTCCATCATAAGAAAGACGATTTCAGAAAAAAAAAAAACCTGGATTTCAAAATGCGTGATGGATTTCAGACAATTTCAGCAATCTCAAGCTTCGTCTGGTTCATCTGATTGCTTCCTCTGTGGTTTAGGGGTTTCGGCTTCATCTGCTTCGTCTTAGGGTTTGTTTGTGCTTTGCCTTCATCTTCTCCAACAGAAAGACGATTTGAAGGAGTCGAGTTCAAGGGTTTTGGGTTTCTCAGAAGAAGGATCGAAGTTAGAGATCTAAAGGGTTTAGGATTTAGAGATAGATAAAACAGAGGGAAGAGAGAGGCATGGACGATCGGCGGAGACAGAGATGCAGGGATCTGGGCGATAGATGGAGAGAGGCAGGGATGATCGGGTGATATAGTTGAAAAACATTAATAAAAAAAAATTACTCCTGCAACAAAATATTAGTCACTTCCTAATTTTTTTATTGTCCCAAAAATATTAATTAGTATATTTAGTTTTAATTTTTTGAATTTAATTTTTTAAAAATTAAATATTTATTTTTCGTATTTTTTTATTTTTAGTGAATATTTTTTAAATTTTAAGTAATTTTTTTACTTTTTTAGATACGGTTTACTTAGATATATTTAAATAATAAAATATTTGTGAAAAAATATTTTAAAAAATTAATAAATACACAAAAATATGAAAAATTACTAAATTTTCATTTTTTTTTGTGTTTTTTGGTATTTAATATATTTTTTAAATATTTTTTTCACAAATATTATACTTTTTAAGTGCGTTTATGTTAGGTGTGCCTAAAAATTAAAAAAAAATTGCTTAAAATATTAAAAAATTCATTGAAAACATTAAAATACGAAAAATAAAAATGTAAAATTTTTTGAAAACTATTTTTTAAAAACTAGATCCACACAAGCTGAATATGATGTATGGCATTAGATTGTGCAACTTCAGTAGAGTGTTTCTTTTGATGTGTACTTAAACGAATAGTTATGAACTATTAATTTATTTACTAATTATTTGAAATTAAAATATTAATAAGACTCAATTATAAAATATAATCATTTAAAAAGTGTTTTAGTTTAAACTATAAAAAAGTGTATATTTATTTTATTTTTTTTAATCTTTCTATTATTTTTTAAATTTATTTTATATCTAAATAATATAAAATGAGGTACTCAATCTATCAATCCAATTTTGGATTTTCTTTGCCAAATGTTCATACTCTAAAATACTTTGTTCATAAGGACAAATTTCTACAAAATAATCAAACTATCCATGTATATATATATATTGTTTCCTAAACAAATCCTAACCAAAGTTGTCGCTCTCTCTCTCTCTCTTTCTCTTTTTCACCGTTTTATCTCTCTCTTCCGCTATCGATTCCCTCCGCTCACCCCACTGCAATAATCCCATGCCATTTTTCAACTGGGTTTGGTTGTTGCATGCTTAGATATGAAGTATGATTTGAACCTGTATTAGTGGAAGGTCCCGGTGATACTCTGATGAGGCTTCATTAAGCTTCCAAAATTACTCTCTCCCATCTAGACTCTTGCGATCTAGGTTCTCAAAGGAAGAGGGATGTGCTGATTGGTACATCACGACTCAATACCATAAATTTCCTTTCTATGAAAGCTTTTAGATGCCATCTTTTCCTTTTTAGGTGACTTACCGTGACGCCCCAAAATCTACACTAAGGGTTATAGTCAAAGTATGGAAGAAATCATCAATTGTGGAAGAATCATCAAAACTTGTGTGAATAATGGTTTTAACATATAAAAGAACAACTAGAAGTAGATTTTAATTATCTTTTATTTGTTTGGCCTCAATTCTGGATCAGAACCCATGCATATTTTTCATAAAGTGCTTAATAAGGAAAGGGTTATGAAGTTCTAGATTTCATGTAAACTGCTTCCTGAAACTTTAACCAAGCATCCTTAAGTTAATAACTATGCAGTTTATGACCACAGAAAGAGTCGGGAAGTTGCTCTTATTGTCAGAACTTGATGCAAGTTTTGTTTGGATAGGTGAGGGAAGCGATTGGTGTTACCCTTTTTGTGTTGTGCTCAAACATTCGGCTTCATACATCCTTCAGTGATCATCATTCCGATGGTGGTGACGATTTCAAAATTAAAGAGAGAAGTTGGGATCAGTTTTTAACAGAACGTGCATCTGAACTTGTCACAAATATTCGGAATGTTAGCCAGTCTGACAAAATGGAGATCTCAACAGATAAAGTCTTGACAATGGGATAGTAAATGGCAATTCTTAAGATGATGTGAAGTGGATGGAAACGGAACATTTTTAAAGAATTCTGTTTAATCAAGGCTTCCTTATCTTCAACTGAATTCTGATGATCTTCTCCTGTTCCTTAATGTGTGCAGCTGTACCATATCATTATCTCATCTTTGAAACCTTGCAGTCCAAGCCTAAAATGTTTAAAAATCGATTTTTGGACTGTGTGATACAATATTATTTTTTTTTTTTTAAAACAGGAAAAAATCTGTCACGGCATTTTTAAAGCGTCGCTAAATATTGGATGACGTCATTTTATCTTTATTTATCACATTTAGAGGCATTTTTTAAAACGCCGCTTATACTAATCTAACGATGTTTTTAAAGCGTCATAACGTTATAGCGGAGGCTGCATCTTCGGCGTTTGGTACTAAACGTGACAAATAGAATTAGCAGCGTTTTTTATACCTATATTGGCATTTTTTAAACACCGCTAAATGTAAAATTTCCAGCAGTGTTCATTGTAGTATACTTTCTGTTAAAAATCACTTGATAATCAAAGGTTGGGCATGCAATCCACTGATCCTTAAAATTCTACAAACATGATAAGGGGAACATAACACCTTATGCACATCCCAGAGCATACAGAATTCTCTCTCTCTCTCTCTCTCTCTCTCTCACACACACACACACACACCCACATTAATTAATCAAACCGTCTTGTTGGGATTCTTATCCTACGTGTTTTGTTTGGCAAATTCCTTTCTTGACAAAATCACTTCTTTTTTATTTCTTTTCTTTTCTCTATCATGATTCCCTGATATTATGTTTGAAAAAGAAAATGCCATCGTTTGAAAACACATACCAAAGCATACCTCATACTGATTTTGCTATATCTATTTGGGATCTCGTGGTGTGATTGGTCAAATTGCTATATCTATTTGGGATCTCGTGGTGTGATTGGTCAAATGAACTATCTTTCTTGGTTTGCGTTTTGTTTTGTTGTGAAGAGGATGGTTGACATTTAGACAGTTGAACAAAAGAGGAAGAGGAGGCTGGTTGTCTGGTAAAAGAATGAAGAAAGTCGTGGCTAGAACATGGAGAAAAGAAGACTGCAAAAGTCAGAAATTATCACCTAATATTATTCTACTAATCAATTTAAAAAAATGTTTGATTTTAATTTAAAATACAATTTTTAGCCTTTTTTTGAAAATAATTTTTCACATAATTTGTTTTGAGTAATTTTTTTTTTTCATATTTTAGTTTAAAAATTTAAATTTTTAGATGCACCTAAAATTTTAAAAAATATTTAAAAAATGTGGGGATTTTTTTTTTTTAATGACTAAAGATGAAAAACTAAAAAAACATAAAAAAATTGATATGTTTTTATATTTCTTGTCTTTAGCGAACATTTATTAAATTTAATCATAAATATTTCGATGTTTGGTTTTCAATTTGTCTTTCTAAAAAATTAAAAATGAAAAAATGAAAAAAAAATAAAATCGAAAGTCTAAATTAAATATTATGTGATAGTTCAAGAGAGTGAAGTGATATGAGGTGATAGTTTAAGCGGATAGAATGTAATTTATCCAATTGATGTATATTTAGTCATGACAGTCCAAATAAAAATAAAAAAATAAAAATAAAAAAAGAAGAAGAAGAAGAAGAAAAGATGAGGACGGTTAGTTTTTACAATTTTTAATGGGAGAATTACTTTATAGTGAAATAGAAGGAAAAAAAAGAAAGGTGATTCTATTTATACACCACCAAACCTCTCAATCTGATTGGTCTTTGACAAATCCTTCTTCTTCTTGATCTCGAATCATTAAATGAATTCTGGAGAATTGATTCTCTACTCTTCATCTCTTTGAGTAGGTGACAGCAAGGAGGGTAGGCGACTGGAGATAAGAGTGGCGGCTGACGATTTGGGATAAAGAGGTGAAGAAGATATGGGTAATTTAGGATTTTTCAAAATTAATGGTGTGCAGTGAGAAAAAATCAAAGTATTAAAAATATGTGTGGTGTGTATTGAGAAAATGGTGTGTACAAAGAGGTTGTGCGGTGTGTAAATGGAATTATCCAAAAAAAAATATACACAAACATGAAGGGGTGCAAGTCTGCATCACACATATTTTCACTTATACCCCACCACAAAACAATTTGCACTCTCCATGTTTTAGTAAATTTTTTTCCTTATCCCACTGACAATTAATTCCCCCATTTTTAATTGTGGGAGGCGGGGGCATAAAATGATACATAACAATATAGTTGAATGGTGTAAAGTATAATTTAACTGTCTTTCAACGTAATAGCACGTCAACCATCCCCCATTTTGAAAGATTATTTACTTTCAAACACCACTTCAAAAGTGTATACCATATGCACCTTATTATAAATTTAATTGACATAATTTTACTACAAAATTTAGTAATATTAACCATAAAATACATAACCTCACCACAAATTGGCGTAATAAAAATATTGTAATTAAGCCATAAACCCATAAACTTTTATTACATGAACCATAAAATTTTAAACATTTTCTTACGCTCATTTGTGATGAGATTATCCATTTTGTAATTGATATTATGAAATTTTGTAATAAAATTATATTAATTGTAATAGGGTATATATGTACACACCATTAGGTTTTCCAATATTAAATTAGGCCAAGATGTTCCAGGAGAGGGGAATGGCTGTCCTCCATATCCTTAAAATAAAATAAAAATATATTGAAAATCAAAGTTGGGTTCCAAACTCACAAGAATAAACTAATCAATAAATCATTTTTCTCATAGGGGGAATTATTTTACAGTAGGACAGAAAAAAATTGTAAAGATATAAAAAGTGTAAATAATTTGGTGATAAGAATAACTAATAAGTCTGACTTATACACTTTTATATTTGTGTAAATTTTTTTTTTTTTTCAGTCCCATAATTCCTCCATTGTCATACAGATGACCGCTAAAGGCAATCTCTTTATTGCCATTGATTCACCTCGTCGTCACACGCACAAATAACACGTTACAGCTGTGATTGGATAGTAAAATCGGGTAAAAAAATTAAATGAAGAACTACACTGACAATGTGTCATTAAAACTTATTTATCATAAAATACAATGCTTCTTACAAGACGCAGATTATGAAATACAATCTGATCATCATGTAGATGCGAG